CAAGGACAGAACCTCAGCGCTCACTTGCTTAGAGCTGGAACACCAGCCAGTAAACAAAGGAGCAGCATGAGAGGTAGGTAAAGAACCAAGAGAATATTTCACAAAAGTCAAGTGAGGAAAGAGTTGCAAGAATAGCAATAGTGTAGTGGCTACAAGTACAAGATCTGCAGTTAGTCACTTACTAGCCCTGTGACCCTGGCTGAATTACTTACCTTACTTCAGTCCTTTAGAATTTCAAAGCCTGTATCCTCAACTGTAAAAGAGGAATAATAAGAGTACCTCAACGAGTTGTTGAAGATTAAATGAGAGAGTCTATTTTATGCCTGGAACAAAACTATTAATGCAGTAGTAGTACTAGTAATAGAATGGGTAACTTAAAAATGCCAATGAATTTTGCATGAAGTTATTAGCATCCTTCAAGAAACTATTTACAGTACAGGGTTTGAGCTATGCTTACAAGACTATAAAGTGGAGTGAGAATAAACCATTCTGTCTATCAAGCCTACAGAGAAATAACAATTTTGTAATCTTTGTCTTTATCCTTCCACATCTCCTACCATCATCCCATACCTAGTATAGTACCTGACCTATATGAAGGATACAATAAATGATTGTTGGACATGAGAAAACTGAGTCAGCAGGAAAGAAGAAATAAAGACACAAGAGATCTTAGTTCTACAAAGAATCTTAGAGGAAACAGTGTAAAGAGCATAAAATTCCTTTCCTGGTTTGCCTTGGGAAGGAACAGAGATACTTTAGTCTCTGACTCAGGGAACGAGAAGATAAGCATGGGTGAAAAATAAGGGGGAGAAAACAAGGGAATTCACATTAGACAGATTCTACCTTTTTAATAAAGATATACAAGTTTTCTGCACAGAGTAGGAAGATTCCAGTCATTCTGGAATCTGAAGAAACAAAATGAGTTGATTCCTCCATTCCAATATACACTTCAGCTTCATTTCTGTCCCTAACACCCTGGTCTAGTCCCCCATCATCTCTTAGATTTTATCAGTGGCCTCACAGGTAGCTGCTCTTCCTACGGACTTTACCTTTCCCCAGTTGTGGTAGTCTCGAGAGCCCACATTTCCTTCTACTCTGTCCATCATTGTTCTTATGAGAAGTCAACCCCTCTGTGAAGATTTCTCTGATCCTCTACCCATCAGATAGTTAATCACTGTTTCCTCTCGGCGACTTCTCCTTGTACAGTTAGATTACTTAATTCATTGTTCTATATTACCACTTCTTTATGTCTGTTCTGTTAAAATTCTAAAAAGGGATTATCTTTATCCCTCCAACACTTAATTCAGCATTTAGTATATAATTGGCATTCAGTCAATGTATATAATTCAGTCAATATTTTGTCTAACTGAAGTGACTGATTAAATGAGTAATCTCCTAAGTAGAAGAAATCAGAAAACAAAGTGTTCAAAATTGCATCATTCAGACAGCCTTTCCACTTTTCTAAGGATTAAACAGCAACTAAGACACAACTTTTCTTACTAATGGAAATATATAACTCAATAGTTTAAATAAATTATATATAATAGTTATATTTGGACAGGTGTCCATGTCCTGGGAATTTGCTTTGAACACAATTAAATTACACTAGGAAGGGCTTACATAGAAAAATATTCTGTCTTTTCAAGTTATTCAGTACCAGGAAGAGATGCACCACTGGACTAATAAAAAAAAATAGACTATCTTTGCAGTGAAAGTGACTAAGGGTAGCATTTTGGGTTTCAAAGTAGATGTTGGCATGCAAAACAGAGAGAATATTTAAATGATATCAATAGCAAATACCAGGGACTTTCACAAATTAAGTAGTTATGTGAACAAACTTTAAAGCAACAACTACCAATAAGTTGACCTACTATGGAAGTAACACTAATAAATAAGACCTATTACAATGAAGTTCTTAACTAGATCAAAATTAATCCATCAACAATTTTTAAACGGAAGTACTAAGGAATTTTCCAGAGTCAGGAAGAAAAATTCTAAGTTTCTATAAAATAAAGTATCACAATCTTAGGTAGATATAATAGATGGCTCTTACTTACACCTAATTGGTTATCTCAGATTACTTTCACACCTGTTGTGTTCAAGAACTCTACTTCAGACTATACCCAAGTAATAGTATGTCTCATAAAAGTGAAATCTTCAATGCTATAATTCCTTAACAAGTTAACAGTATTCAAAACAATCATATGAAATATTTAAATGTAATACATATAATTTTGATTTCACAATGGAGGAAGTTAACTAACATTTAGTTGACATCACTCACAAAGTATTAGGGCTTGTGCTGAGTACTTTAACTAAGCACTAGCTCATTTACTTCTCACTTCTGAACCCCTTGAAGTGTCTTTTTTGTTTTTGTTTTGAGATGAAGAAACCAAGAGTTAGGCAAGATCAATTAACTTACCCCAAATCACCTATGAAGTAGCACAGCTGAGATAACAAAGGAGAACTATTTGACTTCACAGTCTGCTCTCTTTTCACTATGCATTGATGGCTCCCTTAGGAATTACAATGACCATGACCTCTATTTTATAATGAACTTTGTTAGATAATTACACAGTAAATTTCTCAAAGGTTATATAAAGCAATATTAGAATGAGAGCAAAGGCTGCCTTAGCATTTAAAAATATGTATTTTTGGTTACCCAAACTTTATCTAAACATACCGTAATCCAATCCACAAACAGCTGCCCTTCAGCTGCAACCCAGACTGCCCCACAGTTCTCAATTTATTACTAAAGTTTAATACCTCATGAACTTTCCCCATGTTAGATCAACAAGCCTTCTTTTAACAAAATATTGGTCAGAATAGCGATTTCTTAAACAATAGTGCTACTATATAATCTAACTCAGATTACATTTTTAATTCTGAACTTCCTTGGAATTTAGGAATACAGTTCTCCTATAAGCTCTCACTATTAGTTGTATATTGCTTTTGCAGTCAGTTTCCACTAGCTTGTATATTTTATTTCAAACTGAAATACATTTTGTTAGGGCAAGCAGAAACGGCATTTTCCGATTTTTTGCTACTATTCTAGAAAGACTATGGACATAGGTGTTTACTAAATGGTCAGGGAATATAGCATTTTAATAGTAAACATAGTTACCTGTGTACTTGAGTCAAACTGGAGTAAACCAAAGGTATCAAATCAAATTTGATTTTACAACCCAAAGTTCTGTACATAAATCAAATTTGTCTTTTACAAACCCAACACTTTGACACCAACTAGAGAAACCAGTACTTAAAAGAGTTTAGAAAACTCAATTTAAAACACAACTATAACTTATTTCTAACACTACATCCAAATAGATAGTACACAAATTGAGGCTCAAGATCTATCCAACAGTTGCTCTTTTCACCTCCATCTAAAACACATATGATCATACACAAATTAAATCACTAATAAATTACATGTGCTACACAACTCAAACGCTAATTTCTGTGGGAATTTTGCTTCTTTTGTTAATAAACTTACTAGAAAATCTTTTCTCACATATATTTTACATCAATTTTTAGGGTATGAATTACATTCAAGTTACATCCAAACTGTTACATGAAAGTCAAAAGCTTTAGATCTTTCTACTTTAATATTCAAACCCTATCTGCTGAAAAACTGTTCCAATTTAGTGCATCAGTGATCCAACTAGTTACTATTTCTATTGCTGAATCCCTACTATGTATTTTACAAACTCTTCTGCCTGTAAAAGAACTTACTTCACCCAAAACTAAGTCCCTGAACTTCCAGAACACAATATTGTTACAAAAATGTACTCTTGTACTAAATGAAAATTAGCCTTTTAGTTCATAAAACAGTAATCTTACATTATGAAATACAAAAAAAATTAGAAATTACACTACGCTTTAAATACAGAGGTGAGCCTCAACAATGAGTGTGCACCTAATACCCCTGCAGATAAGTCAGTAATGTCAAACGGAACATAGGTTAAATTTTTTAAATTTTATACAGAATGTTCACAGTTTATATAGAATGTTTAATGTTTATATAGAATGTTTACGACTTTTTAAAACTTCCTTAAGTGTTTTTCAGATTTCATAAAGGAAACTGATTCTGTACAGCTGAACCAGGTCTAGGCTACAGACCGTGTGAAATACGACTTCTTCAGAATCAGCAGCCCAAATCCTATTTACCGCCTAAGAGAAAAGAAAAACCTTGTATATAACTACTAAATCTTCAGCGAGATATCGTCGAATAAACTCCAATACGGTACCTTATAGAAGATACACTGGCCAGTAGCTGGATGAGGTCCATAAAAATATAAGCGGGTTTACCCAATTCCCTAGGTGTAAACAAACCCATCGCCCCTGCAGAAGGTAAACAATGAACCTGCCGCAAGGGTGAGGGGGCGGTGTTTGCCAACTACAGTCCCAGCGGCCCGGGGAAGGAAATACAGCGTAAACCAGACACTTCGCAGAAGTCACCGGCTCCAGGTTTCACTACCGAGTTATCAATGGTGCGGGAGGCAAAGAGAAAAGCAGTCACGCAGTCAGCAAGAACCGAGCAGGTCCGGTTTCTGCTCCGAGGGACGGGGAGGGCAGGATGTGGTCGCTCTTCCCTCAGACATCCTCCGGCAACCTAAATAACAGCCTCTACCTCCCTGCGGCCGCCCCCAGGCGAAGGGCTGCGCCAGCTCCGGGTTAGGAGCGAAGCGCTCGTTCCCTCGGGAGCCTAGGGAACCCAGAGGGTCGCCGGCTCCGCCGAGTCCCGCTTGGCGCTCCCAGGCACCCGCGGTACCCAGAGACCTGGAGATGGGGCCGGGGCTCGGGAAGCGGGCACCGGGAAGGGGGGTTGGATCCGGGAAGCGGCCCCGGGCTCGGCTCCCGCGGACCAGCAGGCGGGGCCCGGGCTCTGCTTCCAGCACCCCCGCCAGTGCCGTGCGGGGCCCGCCCCTGCCCCCGGTCTCCAGCCTCCGGCCCCACCGCAGCAGCGCGCCCACGCCGGCGCCTGCCGCGCCCCGCGTTACCTCGGGTCAGATCCAGCGGGACGTTCTCCTCGCCGCTGTCATTCCGCCCTGCGCGAAACAGACACACAGCCCCAATTAGGATAGATCACAGGCCAGTGGTGGCAGCCCTGCCTCCGGCCAGCGCTCCTGATCGCTTCCCCTACCCAAGTCCCGGGGGAGGCTAGAGCCAAGGGTGGCGGGCGCCGGGCGGCAGAGGGGTGAGGGCTGAAGCCGGCTTACCTCGTATTCGGAGGTTCTTCAGCGAGCGGCCGCGGCCAATCGCCGCCATATTGACGGGTTTCAGTCACAACACCGGAAACCTCGCCCAATCGCGCGAGAACCCCTTCCCCTCCCCGCGCGCCGGGTCCGCCCCCCGCAGCATGTCTCCCGCCTCTACCCGGCGGCGGCGGCCGTAGGCTGGGCGGGTACTTCTCGCTCAACTCTGGTTGCTGGGGGGACCCTGGGTCTCGATGGAGTTCAAGGCACGCGCGAGACCACCCGCTAAGAAGGCGGAGGGCGCGGCGGCGCGCCCGGCCCTCCGAGAGTACGTCTACCAGGAGGGGGCATTTCCCACGAGGGGAATCCCATTGATGCGAGTTGGCAGCGTGGGGGATGCTTCCCCTCCAGCAGCCGAGGAAACCTTAGTCAAAAACCGAGGGAGGGTTTTTCGGCGGAGGTCGGGTTGCGGCCGGCTGGCCACCTGCTGAAAGCATTCTGCATGATTCTGCTTGCTTTCAAACCCTGAGATACACAGCCTGCTTTCTTTATGCATCAGTTAAAGCGATTTTTATTTTTAAAAATAAAACACAAAACCCGCTGCACAGTTTTGACGAAACTCATTACCCCTTTCCTACAGTCGCTTTGCTCCAAGTTAACGCAGAACAAAGTTTGTTTTCCACCCTCGCTCTGACCACCACCGTTCTAAGCAGCCTTGCACTTGATCTTCAAAGCAACACTCAGCTAGAAGGGCTTCTCTTAGGGGAAGTGGTGGGGTGTACGTAATGGTTTTGACCGCTTAGCGCAAGACAGAATAGGGGAATGAAGAAGCCCAGAGTGCAGGGTGGTGGTCCCGACGGTGTGTCGCATTGTTGCTGCGCACGCGCAGGCGCTTGGCGGCCCGGGGAGCGACTTTCTCTGCTTGAAGTGCAGAAGTTTGTGTCTGGATTTTTCTCTGTATACGCTCCTCAACAGTACACAGTGTCTAATGAAGATGATGGATCAATATTTTCTATACAAAACCTAATAATTATGAACTGCAAAGAATTTAATTCTAGACACTGCTTTAGCTAATTAATATTTATACACCTGGCCCCTGACCCAGCAACTTTCTCTTAAAGAAGGTTAACTTTAAGGAGAGTGCGAGCGTTTTGCTGCCTCCTATTCATCAACTCATGTCTTCCTATTCCATGAGACTGGAAGTTAATTGACAGGGGAGATCTCTTTTCTCACCTCCTACTTAATGCAGTGTCCAGAACAAATTAGTATTCAATAAATGATTTAGTTGAATGAGTAAGTACCCTGGATTCCTTCTTTGTTTCAATGCTTCTTTTGCTAAAAAAAAAAAAAGCTATATTGGAGATATTGATTGCAGTCGTTAATAACAGTGAACTGGAAAGAAACATTTAAATGACCAAGGTAAGGATTATGCAAATTATGGTAGCCATTAAAAATGACTGCGTAGCTCTAGTATATTTATAGGAAGTAATGTGATAGTAAATCAAACAAGAGATTACAAAGTTCCCTTTTAAATAAAGGTTTAAAATACATATCAAATGAAAAGTATACTTCATAAAATATTTTACATATCTGTCTACACAGTAAAAAGATAAACATCAAATGTTAACAAAAATTATTCCCTTCAGTGGTGGAATTACACATACCAGCTTTTGTCCTTGTTTAGCTTGTCTGTACTTTTTAAACACCATATAATTAATATATATCAACTGTAAAATAAATAAGTCATAAAAAGGAAAATGAAAGCAGCATAAAGTGGCAACATCAGGAAAATAAAAGAGGACCCCTGCTTCCTTAGTACTATCTTCTGTATACTGCAGAACTTTTTCTTACTAGATCTGCAATCAGTTAGCTGCTGATATTACACCTAGATTCAAGGGTGCAACACAATTAGAGTGCCTTTTAAAAATATCTCCTGACATTGCCAGTAGTGATTGTAATAACAATTTGCTCCCTCTTTTGTAGTTTTTAAGTCTTGGTGCAAATTATTTATTGTGGTTATAGCCTAAGGCAAAAATCACAAAACTTGAGGTCTGGCTAGGACATTAAAAATGTTGTATTTCATTGCTCCATGTATTTCACATTTTTGCAAAGTAGAAATCTATCAATGGAAACTCTACCAGATTCTTAGAAAATTGTTCCAATTTTCAGCCAAACCTTATTAATCCTATTTTTTGTCCCTATCTATTATAATAACTCCTTCCTAATACAATTTAACTTTGTTTTCCCTTTCAGTCTTTCATGAAATTTGAGTATAACTGGTCCATTTTTAAATTACTTAGGATACATAAGAACTTGAATTTTATAGCCTTTTATTTTTGCATGTTTCTATTTAAAGATTTATTCAGTTATTCCATCCCTTCCAGGACTTCAATCTTTAAATGAAACTACATTTTCCTCTGTTACTGTATCTGTCACTTGAATGGCTGTGTTCTCCACATTTGATAAGGTAAGTTGTATTTCTAATTTAAAAAAAGAAAAATAAGTTTTTAGTGTTTGCAAATGACACCCAACTGGGAAACAGGAGTTTAGGTAAATTTTAGTAAGGAATACATTTCACAATGTTGTGTTGGCTTTTTAAACAATACATTGTTGATTCTAGTCAACTTGTGTGTTAAAATCTCTAAATTATCTTCTATACTTGCCAATAGCAAACCATTCCTCTTTTTGAAACTTGTTTTTCTTCCTTGTTTATTTTAGCCCACACTTATGTCTTACTAATTTTGTTTACTTCTTACTACTTCTCCAATTTTCCAGGTCATTTTGATTCTATTCTGGTCATTGAGAATGTGACTTCCTCTTCTTAGTTTTCATTTCCCAACTAGGTTTCATTTGCTGTGTGAATGAATTCTTTTTCCCCTAGGATTAGTCATTGATAAAAAATGTTATATGAGATTGGATCCTGGACCACACTTCTAAGAGATAATTGCTTGATTCTGAAGATAACAATGACTCCATTGATAGGCACTCTCTGGGTTCTCTTCTCTATCCTATTGCACACAGTTAATACTTCTACTTTATAAACCAAATGTTATCAGTTTCAGATACAGTAATAATGTTGAACAGAAACAAAGACTTGCCAAAATCTTAGTTCCCTTTATCTGTCTGCCTTATTACATAGGCCATTTGAAGATAAAGCAAGTCAAAAACCACATTTGCTCAGTCTATTGATTGGTAATTTCTCTTCATAGTTAAACCATACATTTAATAACAAGATAAAGATCATTAAAATAACCGAAAATGGACTAAATTAAACAAATGTTATAATCCTACACAGGGTTGATTATGAAGATTCAGGCTTGGTCACAGCCGGAAATTGCCTTTTAGTATTGTTCCTCTCAATTTTAATCTCCCAAAATCTCATGCAAATTTCATTAAAAAACAATTATGTAAATTGTAAAGGCCCTCTATGAAAACAGCTTTAAATTAACTATAAGCCTATGTGTGTGAAAAAGATACATATATTGATAAAACTTGGGAGGGTATGCACTAAAATTTCAATAGTAATTATATTGCTTGGTAGAATTTTGAGTGATATTTTTCTTTTTCTCATTCTAATTGTTCTAAAACAAATTTTTACCATGCGGTTTTCTTTTTAAGGAAAATTATTTTAAAGAAATTTTGTTGGCTATCCTAAACCACAATAATAAACATTTTATTATAATAATTTGTCAAGTAGTAGACCTATCAAAAATGTGCATCTCACCATTAGGAAAAATAACAGTTATACACATGTTGTAATACATGTATATTTACTTTTCTATTAAATAAAACATATAGGTGAAATAAAAATAGTTAAAAATAATTTTTAATGTTATTTTACTAATGTCACAAATAAAAGCAATGGTGCTGAGTATTCCTTATTACTTTTTAAATTTCTTGTTAAATACTTAGTGATATAGCAATTCAAAAGTCTAATTCTAAGAAGAGTTAACCTGCATGTTAGATTTTAGTAGCTGAATCCTCACAATTTACAAAGTTAAGATTGGAAGTACTACTCTACTGGCTGCAGTTTCTCAATCATAGCACTCATTTTCAGTTCCATCCAATAGTTAGTTATATAAAGGTTTTTTATGTGATTTGGTTAATAAATGTCCATCTTCTGTAATGTCAATCCATTTTCATAGAAAACTAGAAGGCATAACGTTTTGAAACTTTTAGCAAATGGTTTCAAAACTCTTCATCTGAAAGATTTTAAGCAGGTTAGAAAAATCCATTTCTATGATTTTTAAGTTTATAGGTATAAAAATTTTTAAGTGACACATTTCTATTTTTAATTGGTTACAGAAAAAAAATCACAAAACTGGAAATGTTACCAAATATCTGTATCTTAAATTCCCTCCACTTAGCAAAAATTTCTTTTGAAAAGTATAACTTTCTTAGTTATTGTTATCATGTTTACTTGAAGGGAAAGATTAAATTTAATAGTCTAAAAAATATCTGATTGATAACATGCTACTGAAAGCCACCAGTCCTCATGAAAAACAGTTTGCCACTAAATAAATATCAAACACCTACATAGTACAAAACATTTTCATAGTCACTCCACTTCTCCTTTCAAAGTGTGTGAATATTAAATTGTAAAATAGTCTTTATTTTATAAAATTATCACACGTGGTACTATCTCTGTTCTTCTGTGAACACCTTTTAAGTTTTCATTTATAGCAACTGCTTTATTGATTCTTCAAAAAACATTGCTTTTATTAAGGAAATTGTTTTCTAGTAAGTATACAGTTTGGAGGGGCAGAAAAAGAGCAGTTATTTGTGTAGTTGATTACTGAACAGAATTTAGCTAAAACCATAGCTGAGACAAGTGTGGAAGCATCTATACTTCCATCCAAGAACACAGCAAAGCTCCCATAATTCCTACTTGTTCAAATAACCTTTTATTTAAAATCTTTAGCCTTTGTCTTTGTTTTTTTTCTTTTTCCTTAGTTGAACATTTAGTTTTGTCAACAAATTGTTTTTTTTATGACTTTTTCAGCCATTTTTTATTGTAGGAAGAAATGCCAGTGTATTCCCCACTGATATGTGCTTATTTGTCTGTTGTTAAAGAGAATTCTCTCCTTATGCAAAGTAGTG